ATGAACAGTTGGCAACTCTGTTTGAAGTCACTACCAAATCCCGACGCCTCTGATAATGCAGTGCTCTCCTCAGTAATGCACAGGAGCTTCAGTCTGGACTGTGAGCTCAAAGTCCCACAGGGGGCAGGGTGCAGGGAAGGGGGGGTGGGCTTGAACACCCGGCCTTCTGACCCAAGAATGAGAGTGTCTACTAACTGAGAAACCTTTCCACAGAGATGCAATTTTTAAAAATATATCTGACACATGCTTAAGAGTATCCAAACTAAGCTGAGTTCCATGTATTCATGTATCCAACCTACACATGGAAATTCCAGGCCTTGAGGGGGCCAGAGAGGGGGCGAGGCGGAGGGATTGTGGGATAGAGTTCCAGAGCATGGGGGCACAGTGGCTGAAGGCTCGCCCATCAATGATGGGGCGGGCGAGGCGGGGGACGTGAAGCAGGCCGGAGCCCATTGAGTGGAGGGAGTTGGCTAGGAGGTCGCAGAGGTAGGGGGGCTTTGAATGTGAGAACCAGGATCTTGAACTGTATCCTCTGTGTGATGGAAAGCCAGTGGTGTTCGGCGAGGATGAGGGTGATAGGGTTGTGGAGCTTGGTGTGTGAGAGGACCTGGGCTGCAAAGTTCTCTTCAGCTGTGCCTTCAGCTCCCCTCTCGACTCTCTACCCCCTCCTCGCTCCCTCCCTTCCCTCCCCTCACCCCGACCATTTCCCCCTGCTCGGGTCCCGACCCAACTGTTCTTGGGACGTCCTCCCGACGAGAAAGGCACTCTATAAATGCAATCTTGTTGTTGTTGTTCTGGATGATCTGCAGCCTATGGCAGGAGGAGTTGAGGAGGCCCACAAGCAGGGAGTTTGCGTAGTTGACACTGGACGTTATGAATCTGTGTATGATGGTCTCGGCGGCCTACTGTGTAAGACAGTGATAGAACCGAGCGATGTTGCGGAGGTGGGGGAAGGCAGAGGGGGTCATGGCACGGATGTGGGGTATGAAGGACAGTTGAGGGTCGAACAGGATGCCGAGGTTCCATATTGGCTCCCTGAGTTGTACAGTGGATCTCATGCAAGCAACAGACAAGATTTCCTATTGCTTGTCCAGATAAAACCACCCTACCCTTTGGGGGTTTGGCTTGTTGGGTTAATAGGAGCTGAGTGGGATGACTCCTGACCCCTAGTGACTGGTCTATCCTTCCATGTCCTACCAATGAGCCAGGCTGGACTGTGCTGTCATCATCAGCACCCTGGAATACTGCAGACCCGCCTGGCTCAAGAATCAGACTGGAGACCACCACAGAGGGCTGGCTTGACTCCGACATTACATTGCCAAAACATGACGCCTTGGAGCCAGTTCAGCTCCGAGGAGACCCCACTTATCCGCCCTCCCCCACCTGAGAGAATATCCACTCATCATTCATTTCATTAGAAATGCAAAGTGATGTGGGTATAACAACAACTAGCATTTATATAGCAACTCTCACTCAGGGTAGCATCCCAGAGCGCTAACAGTGGTGGAGCACAATGCTGAGCCAGGGGAGGCGGAGGTGATCGTAGGTGCAGTTGAAGAGGAAGGTCTTCAGATGTGACCTGATGATGGAGGAGGGGGCAAGGCTGAGGGACTGAGGAAGAGAGTTCCAGAGTTTCAGGGCTGAAAGCACAGCCACCAATGGTGGAGCAGAGGGCACAAAGGGCATTCAGGAAGCCAGAGCAGAGTTGAGCAGAGGTAGCAGGTTATAGTAAGCAGGACGGAGAGGTAGAAAGGTTCCAGGGCATGAAGGGATTTGAAGACAAGTGTGAGGATCTTGAAAGCACTCTGTTCAGTGATAGTGAGCCAGGCTAGAATTGGTGTGATGGGGGTATGGAGTGGCTGTAGATGCATAAAAGATGAAACCAATAGCATTAGCATTCTTGGAGTGATCACTTTCTGTGTAATAATCCCTTAAAACAAAAGAATTTGGTCACTCAATCCACAGCTGTGCGTGGGACACTGCCGTGCGCAATTGGCTACCGCATTTCGCCTACAAAATATGCAATCAATTCACTTTACAGTTTATATTCTGCGAAGCGCTTTGAGGCATCTCAACGACGTGATAAGGCACTATATCAAATGCAAGAATTCTTATTATTACTATTAGATCAGTACGGTTTCAGAACCAAATTAAATCACATTTGATTGAATTACAGAAGATGATGGAGAGGGTCCAGGCGCTCTTATGATCTCAATGTAAAAGCAGTTGTCAACTGGTCACTGTATTCCGAGGCTCTGTCCCGTTACACCTACAGCAGGATGCTATCCTGACAAAGGATTTTCCACTATCTGCTTTATCTGTTAGGCTACTAATATTGTTCCCTCCTCTTTAAAAGAAAGCAAGAAGCAGAATGGAAATCAGTGCGAGGTCAGCTGACCTAGAGAGACATGGTGCTCCATTAAAGGGAAAGACACACAGATCCCAGTTCCCTCCACAACTCAACACAGGATATCATTATGACATTTGATGTCAGGACGTTTCAAAGCTCTTCTTGGTGAACAGCTGCCAAGTGCGGAGACTGTTTTTTTATATAAGCAAACAAGACAGAAGGTCTCACAAACCGCCATGAAGTGGATGATCGATTCGATTTGGAGGATTGTTGGCCAGGACACCAAGAGAAACTCCCTTCTCTCCCTTCTCTCTTCCAATTGTGCCGTATGATCTTATCATCCAGCTGAACAGACTGTTCAAGCGAATATTACAGATCCCATAGCGTAACTTGAAAAAGAGAAGGGAGTTTCTTCGCCCGATGTCCTGGGCAATAATCCCCCAGATAAAATGGTCCAGACATATAATGACTGCTTGTGGGGCATTGCTGTGCATTGTTGAGCTGCTGTGCTCACCTACAAAATGCAGAGCCACTATACTTTTCAGTGAAATTGTGTGAAGTGCTTTGAAACATTAACAATGTGATAAGGCAATAACGTCAAATGAGAGAATTATTCTCTCATAAAAGGGCAGCACCTCCAAAACTACACTAAAGCGTCACGTCCTGAATCGGGGATTGAACCCACAACCTTCTGACTCGGAGGTGAGATTGCTACCAACTGAGCCAGGCTGAGATCTTATAATAATAATCTTTGCATTTAATATACCACGCCATCACATCTTTGAGATGTCTCAAAGCACTTCACAGAATATACTGTGCAGCCAATTGTGCACAGCAGTGTCCCACAAACATTTGTGGATTGAGTGACCAAATTATTATTCTTTTTTCCTTGACGGATTATTTTTAAGAGTGTGGATTAAGAAAACATGCCCATGCCTTCACCCTGCTGGGAATCGAACCCAAGTCTCTTGTTGCGGGGCGAGTGCTCTAACCACTGAGCTACAGGACTCCTGACAAAATGTACAGTCATTACCTGATGGTGTCCATCAATATCCTGGAGCAATGTCAACATTCTGACAATGTTCTGCCTTATCAATAGGACACACAATCACTGGCTTTTCCTAACATAATTGACTCATTTCCACTTGAAGTTATCTGTCCAGCTTCATTCAGAAGACAGAAATGGAGTGGATTCCTGTAGCACAGTGGTCAGAGCACTCGCCTCTCGAGCGAGAGGACCCGGGTTTGATTCACGGGCAGAGCGATACGTTGGGCAAGTTTCCTTACTCCACACAGCTCGGTTTACAGGGCAGTGAGGAGGAATCCGGTTGTTAGCCGATTGCCGATTTGCGTTTCCTGGGCTAATGGTCCCTCCAAAAAATAAAAAAGAATAATAATGCGGTCACTCAATCCACGGCTGTTTGTGGGACACTGCTTTGCGCGTTTGGCTGCTGTGTTTTGTCCACAAAATGTACAGTCAATCTGCTTTACAGTATATGAGACGTCTGAATGACCAGATATCAAATGCGAGGATACATTACTTGTTATTAAAAATACCAAAAAACTTTTGACTCAAAGTGAGTGAAGCGACAAGCAATGCTCTGTGATGACTTGATCGCCTGCCCGCCTGCCCGCCCGCCCGCCTGCCTGCCTGCCTGCCTGCCCGCCCGCCCGCCTGCCCTGGTCCCATCATGAATAACCAGGCGCCTGTTGTACATCTCCCCCGGACAGAGAGGCAGCCATTCCAGCGTGTGAAGGGTGTGAGCTGCGGGAGAGCTCTGCGCTGCTCCGGGTAACGGGGCTGTTAATCATTGTACAAGTGCTGCAGCTACTGCTCCCTCCGTCACCATCTCACTGAGGGGGGCAGAGAGTGGGGGGGGGGGGAGGTGGGCAGAGAGTGGGGGGGAGGGGCAGAGAGTGGGGGGGGGGGGGGCAGAGAGTGGGGGGGGGGAGGTGGGCAGAGAGTGGGGGGGGGGAGGGGGGCAGAGAGTGGGGGGGGGGCAGAGAGTGGGGGGGGTAGAGAGTGGGGGGGGGTAGAGAGTGGGGGGGGTAGAGAGTGGGGGGGTAGAGAGTGGGGGGGGTAGAGAGTGGGGGGGTGAGAGTGGGGGGGGGGGGGGGGGGGAGAGTGGGGGGGGGGGGCAGAGAGTGGGGGGGGCAGAGAGTGGGGGGGGCAGAGGAGGGGGGGGGGGGCAGAGAGTGGGGGGGGGGCAGAGAGTGGGGGGGGGGGCAGAGAGTGGGGGGGGGGGCAGAGAGTGGGGGGGGGGTGGGGGCAGAGAAGTGGGGGGG